ACAAGTCCCTTAACATTCTCAAGTCTCAAATTCAGTTGAAAAACTGAGATAACACAATCCATTTATACTGCTTTAAATTATGAGAAAAAAATATACATACAATACAAATATTCTATAACATAATACAAAATTGTATGTGCCAATATTTTTCTTTAATCTTGATTATTATTTCTTAGACCTTGTTGATTTGGGGCAAAATTATGTCAGAGGCAAAAATCATGACTATGCTCCTGATGTCCTTCTGCCTCCTCCCTCAAGTGTCCTAAATGCCCTACATGAGGCAACAGAAATTGTCCTAAAGCAACAAAACTACTTCTCGGCCGGTGCCGCGGCTCTCTAGGCTAATCCTCCGCCTAGCGGCGCCGGCACACCGGGTTCTAGTCCCGGTTGGGGCGCTGGATTCTGTCCCGGTTGCCCCCTTTCCAGGCCAGCTCTCTGCTGTGGCCAGGGAGTGCAGTGGAGGATGGCCCAGGTGCTTGGGCCCTGTACCCCATGGGAGACCAGGAGAAGCACCTGGCTCCTGGCTCCTGCCATCGGATCAGCGCGGTGCGCCGGCCGCGGCGGCCATTGGAGGGTGAACCAACGGCAAAGGAAGACCTTTCTCTCTGTCTCTCTCTCTCACTGTCCACTCTGCCTGTAAAAAAAAAAAAAAAAAAAAAAAAAAAACTACTTCTCCATCCACCCCAAAGGTAATTATAATCATTTCTACAAATGCATTACCATTTAATAATTATTATTTAATATACTGTAAATTATAAATTTCACTTTAAATCTAAACTCTCTTGAAGCAGTCCAAGCTAGGAATTCGAAGTCTGGGGTTCCTATAACCCACTAGCCACTAAAAGCAGTCTGTAGCAGTTTTGTACCATGTTCTAATGTGTTTAGTCACTTCAAAGCACTCTTCATCTGGCCATATACATTCCTCAAAGAGATATGGGCAAGGAAATGTCTAACATAAAATGAAGGCACACCAATGAGCAAAGTAGACTGCTTTTTCCACAATGCCTGCTTTGTTAAGAGATAGAAATCTGAGCATGTCCCAGATTATACATCTCTTCCCTCTCCCATTCCCACCACCATGTTCAACAGGGATCACATTTCAGTTAATTTTCAACACTTAAGAATAACTGTGCATCAATTACAGATCTAAACCAGTCATATTAAGTAGAACAGATAAAAAAAAACTACTAAGAGGGATAATGTGTTAAGTTGTTCATTAACAGTCAGGGCTATGCTGATCAAGCCACCATTTCCCATAGTGTCCACCTCACTCCAACAGGTTTCCCTCTTGGTGTTCAGTCAGTCGTCACCGATCAGGGAGAACATATGGTATTTGTCCCTTTGGGACTGGCTTATTTCACTCAGCATGATGTGTTCCAGATTCCTCCATTTTGTTGCAAATGACTGGATTTCGTTGTTTCTTACTGCGGTATAGTATTCTAAAGAGTACATATCCCATAATTTCTTTATCCAGTCTATCGTTGATGGGCATATAGGTTGGTTCCAGGTCTTAGCTATTGTGAATTGAACTGCAATAAACATTAGGGTGCAGACCGCTTTTTTGTTTGCCAATTTAAATTCCTTTGGGTAAATTCCAAGGAGTGGGATGGCTGGGTCGAACGGTAGGGTTATCTTCAGGTTTCTGAGGAATCTCCAGACTGACTTCCATAGTGGCTTGACCAGCTTGCATTCCCACCAACAGTGGGTTAGTGTCCCTTTTTCCCCACATCCTCGCCAGCATCTGTTGTTGGTAGATTTCTGCATGTGAGCCATTCTAACCGGGGTGAGGTGAAACCTCATTGTGGTTTTGATTTGCATTTCCCTGATTGCTAATGACCTTGAACATTTTTTCATGTGCCTGTTGGCCATTTGGATTTCCTCTTTTGAAAAATGTCTATTGAGGTCCTTGGCCCATCTCTTAAGTGGGTTGTTGGTTTTGTCTTTGTGGAGTTTCTTGATCTCTTTGTAGATTCTGGTTATTAACCCTTTATCTGTTGCATAGTTTGCAAATATTTTTTCCCATTCTGTCGGTTGTCTCTTCACTCTCCTGACTGTTTCTTTTGCAGCACAGAAACTTCTCAATTTGATGCAATCCCAATAGTTGATTTTGGCTTTGACTGCCTGTGCCTCCCGGGTATTTTCCAGAAATTCTTTGCCTGTGCCAATATCTTGAAGGGTTTCTCCAATGTTCTCTAGTAACTTGATGGTGTCAGGTCGTAGATTTAGGTCTTTAATCCATGTTGAGTGGATTTTTGTGTAAGGTGTAAGGTAGGGGTCTTGCTTCATGCTTCTGCACGTGGAAATCCAATTTTCCCAGCACCATTTATTGAATAGACTGTCCTTGCTCCAGGAATTAGTTTTAGATCCTTGATCAAATATAAGTTGGCTGTAGATGTTTGGGTTGATTTCTGGTGTTTCAATTCTGTTCCATTGGTCTATCCATCTGTTTCTGTACATGCTCAGGCTGACTTGCCCCAAGTGGTGGAGTTGGAAGCATACCAGGGGATTCCAATTCAATCCCATCGAGGTGGCATGTACCAATGCCATCTCACTGTTCCAGGTGATCAGTTTCAGTTCACAGTTGGTCATGGTGAAGGGACTGGGAGTCAAAGGGAACACATAGACAAGTCTAGTACCTGCTAACGCTAACCGATGGAGTAAATAAAGGGGAGAGTGATCCAACATGGGAAGTGAGATACTCAGCAGACTCATAGAATGGCAGATGTCCTAAATAGCACTCTGGCCTCAGAATCAGCCCTAAAGGCATTCGGAGCTGGCTGAAAAGCTCATGAGAGTATTTCAGGCATGGAAAGCCAAGACACTCTGGCAAAAGATCTCTGCGAGTGAGATCCCAGTGGAAAGAACAGGTCATCAAAGAAGGAGGTACCTTTCTCTGAAGGGAGGAGAGAACCTCCACTTTGACTATGACCTTGTCTAAACAAGATAAGAGTCGGAGAACTCAGAGGGCTTCCATAGCCTTGGAAACTCATGACTGGAGCATAGGGAGATTACTGATGCCATAGACAGGAGTGTCAATTGGTAAAGTCAACAACAGGAGTCACTGTGCACTTACTCCTCATGTAGGATCTCTATCCTTAATGTGCTGTACATTGAGATTTAATGCTATAACGAGTACTCAAACAATATATTTCACTTTGTGTTTCTATGGGGGTGCAAACTGTTGAAATCCTTACTTAATACATACTAAACTGATCCTCTGTTAAAAAAAAAAAAAAAAGAAAAAAAAAAAGAAATTATCAATTCCCAACTTGACTCTCACTGGGATTAAACATGACAATAGGTCTGCTCTGATTTCATCATCATTTAAAAAAATCATCTATTATTTTTCACTTTATGTTTCTGTGTGGGAGCAAACTGTTGAAATCCATACTTAATGTATACTAAGCTGATCTTCTGTATATTAAGACAATCGAAAATGAATCATGATGTGAATGGAAGGGGAGAGGGAGTGGGAAAGGGGAGGGTTGTGGGTGGGAGGGACGGTATGGGGGGGAAGCCATTGTAATCCATAAGTCGTACTTTGGAAAATTATATGCATTAAATAAAAGTTTAAAAAAAAAAAAAAAGAGATAGAAATCTGGGGTGTACACAGCAGAGGCCTAGAAGGACTTAGTCCATATTGTACAAGAATAATCACTGTAGAAATAAAGAAGGAAACAGGAAAGCTTCCTGTCTTCTTACACTCTCTTAACATTGACAGTTTTTAGCAATAGATACAATAAACATACTAAAATCACTCAAAAATGTAAAGAGTAGTAAATTCAAGTGATATGGACAAAGACATTGAAAAGACCTTCATGGCTGGCGCCACGGCTCACTAGGCTAATCCTCCGCCTGCGGCGCCGGCATACCAGGTTCTAGTCCCGGTCAGGGCACCGGATTCTGTCCCAGTTGCCCCTCTTCCAGGCCAGCTCTCTGCTGTGGCCCAGGAGTGCAGTGGAGGATGGCCCAAGTGCTTGGGCCCTGCACCCCATGGGAGACCAGGAGAAGTACCTGGCTCCTGCCAGATCAGCGCAGCGGCCATTGGAGGGTGAACCAACGGCAAAAAGGAAGACCTTTCTCTCTGTTTCTCTCTCTCTATCTACTCTGCCTGTTTAAAAAAAAAAAAAAAAAAAAGGTCCAGAGCATCAGTTACTGCACAGTGTGGTAGATACAGTCCAGAATACTGCACAATAAAATAAAACATCAGATCAGCACCAGGTATGACATGTGGGTTACTACCATGACAGGAATTAGGATGCCTAAGTTCTGTGCTAATAAAAAAAATAAAAAAATAAAAAAAAAAAGACAATACCTTCAGAAGACGCATGTCAACAATAGTGTTTCTACTGGATAAAATGCTAATTGTTCATATGCACTCAAAGCATGTTACCAACATGGACTACTCCTTGTAACAGTCCTATCCAATTTTACTCTCACTTCTCAGAATAATACAAACCTTCAGGTCACTTGATCCTTACATTTTTAGCCCAAAATTTTTTAAAATCTATTTACTTCAGAAGCTACAGTAGGGGAAGAACGAAATTGTGCTGTATTTTATGCTCCATAACAACTGTGATTATCATGCTGAATTTTCTATGGGCTAATAAAAAAAATTAAAAAAATAAAAATAAAAAAAACTCTGCTGTTTCCTGACCTCAAATGACCTCAAAGCTACAATTTCTATTAAAATGTCCACTTAGAAATTTACCAAAAAAAAACCACAAATTTTAAAGAGCTACTGAGTTTAAATTCTTTGCACAGATACTTAATGGAATTTAAACTAAAGAAAGGAGGGGAGACAGTATAACTGAACAGCATGGTTTAATGTCTCATTGATTTTGTACAGGATTAAAATAAGTACATAACTTTCATAGTAATTCTGTAATCACAAAATGGGAAGAATTTCTAATTTTTTCCTTTTGTCAATTTAACAATAATTGGTTTTAAAACATTTCAAGCTTAATGAAATAATTCATAATAAAAAATTAAATTTTTACCAGTTGACAATGGTAGGAGGTACTAGTGCCTTCAAAATAGCTGCCTTTGTGTCAATACCTGTCAAAACAAACAAATAAAGAGACAAATATTATTCATAATTTAGTTAATCAAAGCCAAATATCAACTTTGCTCAGGAAAAAGTGACTTCCTAACCTCTCATGAAGAAAATTTCTAGTGAGCTTTTCTGGAAACATTATAAATCTCACTAATAAATGACATCTTATTATGTAACATTTCTCCAAAAAAGGATAGTATATATGCTATTCCCCTACAGAATAGCCAAAATCCAAACACCAAACACTGGCAAGGATGTGGAGTAAAAGGAACTCTCAGTCATTGCTGGTGGGAATGCAAAATGAGACAGCTACTTTGGTGGACAGTTTCACAGTGTCATAAAAAACTAAACCTACACTTACCCTAGGAACCTAGCAATCACACTTCTTGATATTCACCTCAAAGAGTTAAAAACATGTTCATACAAAAACCTGGACATGGCTATTTATACCAGCTTTATTATTAATTGCCAAGAGTTGGAAGCACCCAAGATGTACCATGATAAGTGAATGGATGAACAAACTGTGGTACATCTAAACAATGAAATATTATTCATTGCTTGAAAGAGCTATAAAGTCATAAAAAGACACGGAGGAATTATTTAAATATCTTAAATAAAATTCATGCATAGTTTGTTTCATACTAACATTCTTCACAAATTTTTTGAAGACTCATGATGCATGGATTTAAAAATTGTTCAGACCAAAATAAACTTACATCTCAATGTTCCACATTTTGAAGTTTAACGTTAGTTTAATCATAGTATTAACCGGAAATTCACAGAAGAAAATCCCTTATGTCCATATAACTATGAAAACACTATCATTTCCCTCATCTTTTTTTTTTTTTTTAAGTGAAAAGAAAATCACAATTGTTGGTGAGTAAACAGGAAACAGAACAGCTCTTGGCACTTTGGGGAAAGTATAGTCAGTCTGAATAACAATTTGACAGCATCTAGAAAAAGCTGGAAATGTAAATTGCTGTGATCCAGCAAATCTCTTTTGACTCTTGCACATGTGCATACTGATATTCCCCTGGTTTGTTTTGTTAATTAAACAGCCCAACATGACAGGTCCTAGTCCAATGTTAAGAATCTCTCCAACAAGTTCTTAATAAACCCATATAAGGCTCCAGACCTTATGCTTCTTATTTTGCAAATGAGCTCAAAAAGTTCCTAGTCCCAAGGTAAGGCCTGACAAAACAAATTGTTTTAACATGCAAAAACTGTTAGACAAGCACACAGGCTGGTGCAGTGGCATAGCAGGTTAAGCCACTGCCTGCCGTGCCAGCATCCTAAATCCAGGCTGCTACACTTCCAATTCAGCTCCCTGCTAATGTGCCTGGGAAAAGCAGCAGAGGATGGCCCAAATCCTCGGGCCCCAACACACACAATGGAAACCTGGATGAAGCTCCTATCTCCTGGCTTCAGCCTGGCCCAGCCCCGGCTGCTAGAGCCACTTGGGAAGTGAACCAGTGGATGGAAGATCGATCGATCGATCGATCGATCGATCTCTCTCTCTCTCTCTCTCTCCCCCCCCTTCCCTCTCTCCCTCCCTCTGTAATTCTGACTTTGAAATAAATAAATAAATCTTACAGAAAGAAAAGGAAAAAGAAAGAGAGGAAGGAAGGAAAGAAGGAAAGAAAGGAAGAATGGAGGGAGAGAGGCAGGGAACGAAAACAGACAGGCAAATGCAGTCCTCTGTACAGCCAGGAAGTCACTACAAGCTGAGTTGATGGGTCTATTTTTGTCCAAGTAGATAACAACTGCAGGGAGTAACAACAGTATTTGCAAAAGTACAAAGATGTTACACAATGAAAGATAACTTTCAGAAAAGTCTAAGTACTTATAGCAAGCTGAACAAATGAGCTCCGGCGGCCATTTTGGCCACCTGGGGAGTGAACCAGGCGATGGAAGACCTCTCTCTGTCTCTACCTCTCTCTGTAAGTCTGTCTTTCAAATAAATAAAATAAATCTTTTAAAAAAAATTGTAATTTGGGAAAGGCTATGTGGTATAACAGGTTAAGCTACAACTTGAGCAGCCCACAACCCACAGAGTTTCTTGGGACTGAGTCACCTCTGCTTCCGATCCAGCTTCCGGCTAATGAGCACTCTGGGAAGCAGGTAATGACTCCATGTGGGAGATCAGGATGAAATTCCTGGCTCCTGGCTTCAGCCTGGTCCAGCCCTGGCTCTTGTGGGCACCTGAGCAGTGAATTAGCAAACAGAAGAATCTCAAGAGTCACTGTCTGTCTGTCTGTCTCTCTCTCTCTCTCTCTACCTTTCAAACAAATGAAAATAAACATTTGAAAAATTAGGAAAAAGTATAACTTGGGATGTTCCAGACAAATCAGGAATGTATGGTCACTCTTCCTATAAGGGAATGATAATCTACTGGCATCAGATATCTCAGGAATACAGGTAGCTATAAACATTTATAAGTTTTATGGAAAATTAATTTTAACCTCAAATTCTAGTCCCAACTAAATTTCCAATCAGTTGAAGCTGAATAAAGAAAGTTTCAGACATGCAACGACTCATTAAATTTACATTCCATAAATACCCTTTGCTAAGAAATTACATTAAAAAGTCCTCAACTGTGTGTATATAATCCTGTGATAAAAGTTTTAAAAGACAATTTTTAGGCCAAAATTAATCTAAAGTTTTGTAATCTGTTTTATAAGAGCTAGTACAATACTGACTCAAAAACCTGACATACCAAATAGAACAACCTCTCTAGTGAATATTAACAAAAAAAATTCTAAAATATCAGCACATCTAATCTAACAGAGGTAAAAATAATCTACCACAACCTAGCAAGACCTAGTGAGACCTAGCGTGATTTGTTTACTGTATAAATACAAAGATGTTTCACACTGTATAAATACAAAGATGTTCTCTACATTAACATGGTAAGTGGAAAGGGCAAGTTGTGATATGTATTTTTTTAAGAAAAGTCAATATCAACTTTTAACTTTAAAATATTTTCTAAGAAAAAACAAGCTTCTTTAACTTAAAAAAAAAAAGTATATTTATTGGGGCCAGCGCTGTGGCGTAGCAAGTAAAGCCATTGCCCACAGTGCCAGCATCCCATATGGGCATCAGTTCGAGTCCCAGCTATTTTACTTCCAACCAGGCTCTCTGCTGTATGGCCTGGGAAAGCAGCAGCAGATGGTCCAAGCACTTGGGTCCCTGTACCCACATGGGAGACCTGGAGAAAGTCCTGGCTCCTGGCTTCAGATTGGCCCAGCTCCTGCCATTGCAGCCATCTCAGGAGTGAACCAGTAGATAGAAGACCTCTCTCTCTCTCTCTCTCTCTCTGCGTAACTCTGCCTTTCAAATAAATACAAAAATGAAAATTTATTTTAAAAAAGTATATTTATCAAAAAACAGCAGTAAACATCATACTGCACAGTGATTTCCATTACAACACAGAACAAGACAAGGAGGGCAAGTATGGCCATAAATATGGAACACTGGGCCTGCGCCGCAGCTCACTAGGCTAATCCTCTGCCTTGCAGTGCCGGCACACGGGGTTCTAGTCCCGGGCAGGGCGCCGGATTCTGTCCCGGTTGCCCCTCTTCCAGGCCAGCTCTCTGCTGTGGCCCGGGAGTGCAGTGGAGGATGGCCCAAGTGCTTGGGCTCTGCACCCCATGGGAGACCAGGATAAGTACCTGGCTCCTGCCATCGGATCAGCGTGGTGCGCCGGCCGCGGCGGCCATTTGGGGGTGAACCAACGGCAAAGGAAGACCTTTCTCTCTGTCTCTCTCTCGCTGTCCACTCTGCCTGTCAAAAAAACTAACTAACTAACTAACTAACTAAATAAATAAATAAATAAGGAACACTGAGAAGGCTCTGGCCACATATCCAATGTGATAACCACTAACCAAAACTGCTACTGAGCACTTGATATGTGGCTACTGCAAAATGAAATGTATTCCAAATATAAAATACACACAAGATTCCAAAGACTCAGTATGAAAAAAGGAAAGCAAAATAGCTCATTAACGATTTTTATACTATGACAAACACAAACAGTATTTTGGAGTATACTGCATTAAATGAAAAACATCAGAAGTAATTTTCCCTGTTTGCTCTTATTGTAATATGCATACTAGAATTTTAAAATCAGATATATGACTGACATCTATGGCTTTCATTGCATTTCCTTTGAATAGTACTGCAATTCAGCCACTGTAATCACAAAACGGAATGAGTATGACAAATTCATGTTGTTTGCAGACAAATGGCTGTTGAAAAGAAAACTCAAAGAATCATTTGAAAAATATCCAATCAGTGGAATTCCCTAATATATCTAAATATGAAGTAAATAATAAAAAGTGATAGTTTTTCAAATACCATACAGAAAATAAAATGCAAAAAGATCTTAGTCACAATAGCAAAGCAACATTAAAATACCTCACATAATAATATATGTAAAATGCTATACTTAGGCACTAAAAAACCTGAATATTTGTTAAAATAGACTTGTTCCTTAGTGGAAAAGATAAACATAATTCTGCCAAAACTAAGCTATATCAAATGCAATTCCAAATCAAAGTCTTTGGGGGGGAGAGGATGGCATTGTGGCACAGCAGGTAAAGCTGCCACTTGCAACACCGGCATCTCAAATGGTAGCCGGTTCATGTCCTGTGTGCTCCACTTCCAATCCAGCTCCCCTGCTGATGGCCTGGGAAAAGCAGTGGATGATAGCTCAAATGCTTGGCATCCTGCCACCCACAAGGGAGACCCAGGTAAAGCTCCTGGCTCTTGGCTTCAGCATGGCCCAGCCCTGGCCACTGCAGCTATTTAGGGAGTGAACTAGCAGATGAAAAAAATCTCTCTCTCTCTCTGCCTCTGCCTCTCTATAACTCTTTCAAATAAATAAATCTTTTGTTTTGTATGGTTACTTAATATGTTAATTCTAAAATTTTTTGGAAGAAAAATTTGTAAGATTAGCTAATGAAACGCAAGAAAAGGGACATTTAATGTGTTACGTCTTATT